CAAGTGCAAGGGCCTGAGTTCAATCCCTGGTTCCGCAAAAACAAAACAAAACAAAACAAAACAAAACAAACAAACAAAAAAAAAAGTCAAAGCCAAATGTTGGCTAGGCTGCAAGGGAAAAGGAACCCTTCACTGTTGTTTGTGTGACTGCAAACTAGTATAGCTGTTATGGAAATCAGTATAGAGACTCCTTTTAAAAAGCTGAAACTGTGAGCTCCAGTTCCAATTCCTAGTAGTAGGAGACCCTTCTACTCTTTTTCTTGGCATCTCCCTTGCAGAGTAAAAAGCATCACATTAGAGTGGAGCGTGCGTGTCCCTGTTCACAGCAGCTAACCTAGAAAGAGCCTAAGGGCCATCGACAGATGAGTGGATGCGCAAACTGTGGGATTCACTAATAGTGGAGGATTGCTCAGCCACAAGGAAAGATAGGTTTGATTCATTAGTAGGAAAGTGGATGCACTTGAGTCCATTATGTTAAGTGAAATAAATCAGACATAAAACTTAAATGGTGGGCTGGTGAGATGGCTCAGTGGTCTAAAGCACCTACTAAAAACAAGCTTAGCAAAGCACAGGGACCACGGTTCAATCCCCCAGCACCACATGCCAGCCAGCCCCACCCCCTGGTGGGCTGAGCTGGCCACACACACACACACACACACACACACAAATTAAAAACAAAACAAAACTTAAATGGCAAATGGTTTCTCTTTTGTGAGAAACCCAAAATATAAAGAACAAAACAAAAGAAAATAGAAAATAGGGAGAGGATCTCAAGTAGAAAGGGGAGCAGGAGATGGAGGAGGGAGGACAGAGAAAGGGGGGAAGGAAGGAAATGCGTTGAAGGAAGGAATTAGGGTGTGTTTCCTACATTTACTAACAAGGAATGCAAACATTGTTATTGCAGATAAGGGCAAAAAGAATAAAAGGGCTGGGGAAGGAGCTCAGTGGCACAGAACCTGCCTGGCAAGCACGAAGTCCTGAGTTTCATTTCTTTTTTTTTTTAAATTTATTTATTTTATTTATTTATTTTTTGTGTATGTGTGTGTGTGTGGCCAGCTCAGCCCGCCTGGGGGCGGGACTGGCTGGCATGTGGTGCTGGGGGATTGAACCGCAGTCCATGTGCTTTGCTAAGCTTGTTCTAAGTAGGTGCTTTAGACCACTGAGCCATTTCACCAGCCCCTTGCGTTCTATTTCTGGCAATAAACGCATTAAAAGATGGATGGAGGGGAGAGGGAAAGAAGAGAAAATAGATAAAAGAAGGAGTTGAGGTGTGTTAGGTCCATGTACCAACACTCCACAAGGAGTGCAAACGTTCTGGGCTGCAAACATATACTAATTTGAAAAAGCAAAACAAAACAATATAAAGTGTTGCTATTTATTCTGTGTAGGAAACATGCTCGGAAGAAAAAATGACCTAGGAAGATAGGAGACTTCATTTGGTACAGCTGTTGGTACCAAGTACTACAAACTGGGTAACTAAAATAGCAGAAATATATTTCAGGTTCTGGAGGCTATGAGCCTAACAGGAGACCCTATGGAACGTGGTAGCACCCCTCCTTGCCTCTTCCTAGCTTCTGGCAGTTGCTGCTCATCCTCATTGTCCTTGGCTTGCTCCTGCATCACCCCTCCGTTGTCATATGACATCTGTTGTGTTTATGTCCAGATTTCCCCTTTATAAAGGGCAGCAGTTATGTTGGATTAAGGATTGACTGTAAAGTATGACCTCATTTAAGAAAGTTAAACACTTCCAACATTCAAAGACACAAGATAGATGTTTTCATTCCAAAAATTACAAAGGGGTTACAGAAGAATGGGAGCAAAGTCCAAATCCAGCAGTCTTGTGCTTAGAGAATTGTGAACCGTAGTGGGAGCAGATTTTCTTATCCGAGCTAAAGCACTTTTTATCTTGTGTCACTGTCTGGTGGAGAAGGAGGCAGCATGCGGGAACTTCAGGGCCTCGCTGCGAGGTCCAGGCTGGCCTTGAGTTCACTTTGAAGTCCGGGCTTGTCTCAAGCTTATGATGATCTTCCTGCCTCAGCCTCCTGAGTGCGGGGATTATAAGTGCCTGGCACCTTACCTGGCTAGGAGCATTCTTTTGAATGGCAAAAATTACTGACAAGCCAAGTCTCATAGAACTAATGACCTAAGGAAATGCAGTACATGTATATATGACATGAATTAGAGAGCAAGTTGCGATGCATTTTATACTTACCAAAAAGTAAAGCAGGAGCATAGGCGGTTCTGTCAGGTAAGGGAGGTGTGATCAGAGTATGTTATATACACGTGTGAAAGTGCCATAGAAAAGCTCAATGTTTGCACTAATAAAATGCATAGTGTAAAAAGGGCTCAAAAAGTAAAGTGAATATTGAATAGTGCACATTGTTTTAAATGTTAGATCTCT